ACTAGATTTAGTAAAACATGTCATGTTTGGTCACTCTCCGTCCAACTCCGTTAATTCTGTCTGATGTGGCAGTCAACTCTAAGAGTTGGTCATTAAATGTATGACGTGGCAATTAAAAAAAATTTAAATTTTTTTTTTAAAATTTCCACATCATTTTTATAAATAAAAATAAAATTAAAAATTATACATTTTAATTCTCTAAACCTCACCCCTTTTTCTCATACCCGAGATTTCTAGCTCTCACAAATCCCAAATCCTGGGCCGCGACGAAGGGGAAGGAATGGCGAGCAGTGGGAGATGGAGGGTTGGTTGCGCAGGAGCAGTGTACTGTAGTGAGGGAAGAAGAGGCGAGGTGGAGCTCTCAACTGGAAGCCGGCAAGCCCACTACCCGAGCCACCGCGATGGGTCGGAGTGTAGACGATGGTGGGCGTGCTAATTGCAATCCGCAGAAGAGAGAGCGTGATCGGCGTGAAGCCCGACCACACAAACACAATGGTGACTGACTGGTGAGAGTCCTCCCTCTCCTCCCCATCAGCCCTTCGTATAGGTGAGCCAACACCCAGAATGGTCTCGGTGCCCTCTTCCCCCTAGAATCCACCGACCTTGTACTGTAAATACATCAAACTCCCTGTACCACGAACAGAGGCTTCGGGAATTCCTTTCGCTTGAAATTGACAAGTGGAGCGGGTGGATGCTTGACGACGTTGGCTAGGGAACAGGTGCGCTTGAAATTGACAAGTGGAACAGGGGGCCAGTCGCATACCAAGGCCACCTTTCTCATCCACCGACGGTCACCGTCATACACGAGAGCTTCGCTACTTTCCCGTTTTGGCCGGTTGATTGGTTAGATTTAAGGTTGATCTTGCTTTTGCATGTTCCTATTTTCATGAATCCTTTTCTTTTCATAATTCGCCTGTGAAGCTTTTCAACGAAATGGGCTCTTTATTCCAGAACCCCATTTTTAATCGGAATCTTCTAGTTCCCTGGGCACTGGGTTTCTTTCAATCCATAGAGGTATTTGGATTAGCAGATATTGACTTGGGGAGGATACATATTGTAGTAGTTGCTATGGCGCAACAAATCGCCTCTTCATCCCTCACTACTTCAATCGTTGTCACCGCTGCTCCGGCGCAACCAACCCTCTATCTCCGATGCTCGCCATCTCTTCCCCTTTGTTGCGGTCCAGGATTTAGGATTTGTGAGGGCTAAAATTTCGGGTTTGAGAGTTGGTGAGGTTTAGGAAATGAATTAATTTTTTATTCTAAATATTAATAATGATGTGTAAATTTTAAATTTATTTTATAATTTTTTTTAATTGCCACGTCATATATTTAACGGTCAACTCTTAGAGTTGACTGCCATATTAGAGAGAATTAACGGAGTTGGACGGAGAGTAACCAAACATGACATGTTTTATTAAATCTAGTGACCATGAATGGAATTAAATATTTTTAGTGACCAAACTTGAACGTTATTAGTAATCTCAGTGGCTAACCTTGCAATTTACCCGGCTGCAAAATAACTACCTAAACAAGGTACTAATGACAATGACATTCCAACAAAATGGGCCAAATGTGAAGGCTTGCCTTCCTTTTTTTTTTTTTTTTGTCATAGAAACCCTTGCGGATTAACTAGGTAAGCACGAGATAGCCACAATACAACGGCTTCTTCGTGAAATGATAGTCAAAGCAAATAAGAACAATCAAAACGAACACTACAAGATCCAGAGTAGCATAAGGCATTACGTGCCACAACATGGGCAACCCGATTTGCTTCTCTAGGAGTAAAAGCAACAGAAACCAGCGACAATTCTTGCAACATAAAGATGACCTCTCGTAAGATAGCCCCCACAAGGGCATCATTGGCATCAGAAGCCTTCAAATGTTGTACAACCGCAAGAGCATCACTTGTAATCACAATCGGTCGATCCTGCCACTGCCATTGTCGAAGTAGTAAAACAGCTTCTCTAATTGCCAACACCTCCATGATCTTGGGATGAAAAATGCCTGGAAAGAAACCACCCATTGCAAAAACTGGCAAATTCTGATCCAAACCCACTATGCCAATTGCGCCATGAGTCGGAGCACTTGTCGCCCCATCAACTGCAATGCGAAAAGTAGAATGCACCGTCGAACGAGGATAAGGCTGAGGTCTGGGTGGCGGTGACTGATTGGGTAGGATGGCAATTTGATGAGTGGCATGATGAGATAATAGGTGACGGTACAAGGCAGCAGTGGTAAATTGTGCATAGGGTGGAAAGACAACATTGTTCCGCCCTTTCCAAATCCGCCAAAAAAAGAGGACCCAATTTATTACGGTGGCATGATCGGAGAGCATGATGTGTCTTAAAAAGATGGACAAATGTGTGCTTGAAGAAATACCCGGTGGCAGATGTAAACCACACCGTTGACGGAAATGTACTGCAACACGACACGCAAGGAATAAATGTTCCAGCGATTCGCCTTCATCTGAACCACAAACAGGGCATGAATCTTCTACCTGCACCCCATGTCGGGCAAGATCCTCCCTAACCGGAAGGATTCTTAGTAAAATCCGCCAGAGGAAAAACTTCAATTTGGGAGCAAGAGGAAGACCCCAAAGCCGAGGCCATAGCGCAAGATCAAGAGGTGAAGCCTGGTCCACACTACCACTAGCCCTTGAAACTGGAGACAAACTAGTCGCCAACCGATAAGCTGACTTAACTGTAAATAAACCTCGTGGATCAAAATGCCAAATTAATTTATCTGGGCAAAGGAGTCGTGGCAAAGGTATGGAAATGATACTCTTAATGGAATCCTGCGTGAAGAACTCTCCAAGGCGGTGATGATCCCAAGAACGACTAGCGGGAGAGATGAAGTAGGAGATTGACCGAGACGACCGATCTGCAGTCGGCAGCACTTCCGGTCGAAAACTTGGAAGAGATGGAACCCAAGGATCCGTCAAAGCATCAATAGAAGATCCTGCACCAACCTCCCAACGCAAACCGCGACTTAGCAATGTCCGGCCATGAAGAAGTGATTGCCATGCCCAAGAAGAATTAGAACCCACACCGGCATCCAAGAAACTCGTATTATGTAAGTATCGCCCTTTTAAAACCCGCGCAACTAGAGAATTGGGATCTTGTAAAATGCGCCAGCACTGCTTGGCAAGTAGCGCTTGATTAAAAGCCTCAAAATCCCGGAAGCCCAAACCCCCATCCCCTTTTGGTTTACACAACTTTCTCCAAGATACCCAAGGCAAACGTCTTTCAGTCCCTTGTTGACCCCACCAAAACCGTGCAATCATACGATTTAAAGTCCGACAGAGCTCCTTTGGAAGTCTAAAACATGACATAGCATAAATAGGTAGGGCCGACACAACTGACTTAATCAGAACTTTCAACCCTGCTGGCGATAAACAACGTCGTTTCCAACCTTGGAGACGCTTAGCAACCGCTTCCTCAATGAAGCGGAAAGTATCCCGCTTTGAACGATGGATGATTGAAGGAAGTCCAAGGTATCGATCGCGTGTCCCAATGGCACCAACTTGCAGTGAGTTCCCAAATTGCGTCGCCTCGTGCGTTGTGGTATTTTTAGAGAACACCACAGCTGATTTTGCTAGATTAACCCGCTGGCCACTCATCCGTTCATAGCGATGAAGCAGATCCAGCAATCGTTGACATTCGATCGGAGAAATCCGGAGAAAAAGATAAGCATCATCCGCAAAAAATAAGTGTGAGAGCACCGGACAATGACTATTAAGACGGATACCCTTTAATTCAGCACTGGTAATGGATTGCAGTAGCAAGGCTGAAAAACCCTCAGTACAAATAGCAAAAAGTAATGGTGATAGAGGATCCCCTTGACGTAAACCACGAGAGGGCCGAAAATACCCGTAAGAGGCCCCATTAAGTAGAATCGAAATGGAAGTCGTGGAAAGACAATTGTGGAGAAGCTCCATTACACGAGGTGCAAAACCCAATTTTTCCATTAAGCGAAAAAGGTAAGGTCATTCAATCCGATCATAAGCCTTCTCCATATCAAGGTTTAGCGCCATAAAACGATCGTAGCCAGTACGTTTATTACATAGGTACGTCATAACTTCTTGACTAAGAATGACATTATCAACAATCGACCGATCCTTTACGTAGCCATTTTGATAGGTGGAGATTACTTGAGGTAACACTTGCCCAAGACGAGTAGCAATGATTTTGGAAATAAGCTTGTAGAATACTTGGCACAAACCAATAGGCCGCAATTGCGCACAAGTTTCCACTTGAGGTACCTTTGGAATTAGAGTAAGCCAGGTATGATTAAATGATTGTAATAAATGCCCAGTACGGAAAAATGATTTCACCGCCGCGCATAGGTCACAACCAACTAAGTCCCAAAAGTGTTGGAAAAACAGAGCCGTGAATCCGTCCGAACCCGGAGCCTTGGAAGAGCCAATCTGGAATAAAGTATGTCGAATTTCAGCATTAAGAACTGGTGCAAGTAGAGCCTCATTCATAGCAGGCGTGACTTTGGGCTGCAAAGGCAAAATATCCACCGCAGAAATAATGTCAGAAGGAGAAGTTTCCGAAGTAAACAGGTTCGAGAAGTGTGATACCGAGACCACTTTTATTCTCATAGTTTAATTTAGTCTTCCATTATTAGGTGGGCTTAAGTTCTTATTGGGCTCATTCTCTTAGTGGAAGAAAGTTTCTTTCAATTTCCAGAGAAGGAATAAGTTTCCTTCCTCCTCCTGTCTGCTTTCGTTTCTTCCTTCCCTTTCTATATTCCGAAAATTCACAATTTACAGAAACCTAACCCTAGCCTGATAACAGAGTTGTGCCAGAAAATCTTTTCTACACGCAATGAACTCCATAAAATGTGCGTACTCTTACGTAATTGGTCCTTAATAAGCCTTCCAACACTGGGAAGAGAATTAATGATGGCAGCCTGTAGTTGGCAGAGCCACCGCCTCAACTGCATTTCACAATACATCAGCTAGCTGATATATAGATATATATTGTAGATGGAAATCAAATCAAGAGATTAGTGTAGAGTAATCAACCCAACTTACTAATTGAGCTAGCAATAGTAATATGGCTTCTTCAGAATCATTAGTCATCGTAATATTCTTCTTGCTGCAGTACTTCTTCTGCGAAGCCGTGGGAATAACAACGGCGCCGCCGCCACCTGAAAACGGAACAGTTGGTAGATCAAGAGGAACTTCTTCAGCTGTCTTCGTATTCGGTGACTCGACTCTTGATACCGGCAACAACGATCATATCGTAACTTTTTCCAAGTCCAACTTTTCCTCTCTATGGAAGGGATTTTCCGGGAAGAATCCCCACCGGTAGATTCTCCGATGGAAGGCTCATTTCCGACTTCATAGGTACTTATAATTTAACTTTTGTACTCTATATGTATATGATTACAATTATCTGGGTTTCCAATGTTGGAAATTTGGTTGAACCGGACTAACCAAGTCAAACCGGTTTTGGGTTGGACCGACCAACCGGTTTGGTATTAGACCGACCGAACCGATATTCTAATTCCGTGAAGGGACACATCCCTTTGGCCTAGTGACGGTTGCGTTATTTTATGGATAAGGATAACCTTATGGATAGAGGCAACTCTTCATATGGATAAGGATAACCTTTCATATGGATAAAGGCAACCTTTCGTATGGATAAAGGCAACCTTTCATGAAACAATGCATGGATTCGGCCCCTATAAATATGTGTGGGGTGGATGATGCCACATACCATCAAACATATTCTTCTTCTTTCTTCCAAAAATTTCTAAGTATGCTTTAGTGTTCTTGAGCCTGGAACCTAAAGTGGTGATAGTTTTATCCTCGGGAGAAATTTCCTGTAACCCAAGGCTTTGTAGAGGGTGGAAATATTCTTTTCGGAAAGTGAACATTGTTCACGACTCTATCACAATCCTGGTCACCCGGTCTCGGGCTATCGTACGTATACCCTCGTCCCCTAAAAGTCCCAACAATCGAAAAGAATATTTTTCCGGTACGATGGCTCGAACCGCTCTTTACAAGAAACCGGTTCCGGTCTATGGAATTATGAGAATATTCGATGATGGGTTTTTCATCGATGGCAGTAGAAGATGGATTTTCTTCGTACTTGTCTCATGGTGATTCCATATCCGGAAGGTAACTTGGAAGAGGGATGATTCGAAGATGAAGAAGAAGGAGAATGATTCGTAAAATGGAGAAATAGAAGAATGAAAATTGCCTTTGGGTAGGTCACATACTCAATGGTTAATTAGTCTAATTCTCTATTCGACATTTACGAAGTTCTACATAAACTTGGATTTGTCTAGTGGTTTGGTGGTGTGATTTTGTCTAGTAGTTTATGTTATTTTAAACCAAGGAGACAAAATTGTATATACAATGTTTGATGATTCTGGTAATAGAGTCGTTGTGTTTGTATGTAGATGACATATTTATCTTTGGGGCCAATCAAAGATAAGTGATTTTGTCTAGTGGTTTATGTTATTTTAAACCAAGGAGACAAAATGTGTACACAATTTATGATGATTCTGGTAATGAAGTCATCGTACATTTGTATGTATAAGACATGGTTATCTTTGGAACCAATAAAAGTTAAGTGAACTTTGATAAAAAAAAAAAAATTATTTCAATTCTCCATGTAGGACATGGGGGAGGCAAATGTGATTCTGTGTATTGAATCAAGCGGAACGACAAAGAAGAGTCCTTCTCTCAATTTTTCTGCATGAGAAGGTACTCACATAAATTCCATAGTAGGAATTGTAGTGAGTTAAAGACCCCAATGGATCCAAGTATGGAACTTATGGTTAATACTGGAAATTAGTTTTACAACTGGAGATGTATGCATGACTTACATGATTCTAGATATCGCATATGCGATAGAACAATTAAGTTGGTATGTGATGAATCCTAGTTCTCATCATTTGAAATGAAATGAGGCGTGTACTAGGATATGTCAAAGGCACACTGTATTGACTTATAGTGGCTTTCCATCAATTTTGGAAAGGATTTTTTGATGTTAGTTGGATTTCTCATGTTAAAGGTGATACTTCAACATTGAGATGGGTCCTCTTGCATGGGAGAGGTGCCATAATTTGAGCCTCTAGAAAGCAAACTTGCATCACGAATTTCACTATGAAATCAAAATTTGTGTGGCCTTGATTTCTCTTAGAGAAGAGACATAATTGTTGAGAGGTTTGGTTTATGACATATATTTATGGCCTAAACTAATCTCACCTATTACTATCTTTTGTGATAGTAATGCTAATTTGGCTAAGACATATAGTCAAGTGAAAATGACAAGTACGGTCATGTAGGAGTGAGGCACGGTAAAATCTGTGAACTGATCATTCATAGAGTTGTGTCTAGACAGTATGACCAGACTCGAAATAATTTGGTTGATCATTTGACGAAGTGGTTAACTAGTGACTTGGTGATCAAGTATGTGAAAGGGATGGGTTAAAGTCCATATAATTTCTGGTAATGGGACACCCAATTCCCCTCTAATACAACGTTAGAGGCTGAATTCAATGTGGAAAGCTTATTATCAGAAATTGAAGCACACAATTATTCATCCCGAGGTATGTGCTTGTTATCCTGCATGAGAGAAGAGGATGAAGTTCAAAACTTCTTAATTGAATCTTTGAAAAAGTGTATTATGCGGGTACACGAATAAGAGATTCAACCTACGTAAGCATGAAGTGTAGCCGCTTCAAGAAACCCGGACTTTGGTTTCGTGTGCGCTTATGAGAAGGATTGGACACATGGCGGATAATAGTGTCAAGGCGCTTAGAAGTTTTGAAAACTTAAGTGTATATTATCTTCGAATATTCATATGAGTCAATGGGTTCAATCGTTACCGACACCCTTTGTATTCGAGTATTCGTCAAGTGTAATATACTAAGGTGAAAATTCAATCGTCACGACATTTTCATTTATGCTTAAGTTTTGTTGGAAGAATGTTGTGATTTTAGTGAATTCTATGAATACACTAAAATGGGGGAGGAATGTTGGAAATTTGGTTGAACCGGACTAACCAAGTCAAACCGGTTTTGGGTTGGACCGACCAACCGGTTTGGTATTAGACCGACCGAACCGATATTCTAATTCCGTGAAGGGACACATCCCTTTGGCCTAGTGGCGGTTGCGTTATTTTATGGATAAGGATAACCTTATGGATAGAGGCAACTCTTCATATGGATAAGGATAACCTTTCATATGGATAAAGGCAACCTTTCGTATGGATAAAGGCAACCTTTCATGAAACAATGCATGGATTCGGCCCCTATAAATATGTGTGGGGTGGATGATGCCACATACCATCAAACATATTCTTCTTCTTTCTTCCAAAAATTTCTAAGTATGCTTTAGTGTTCTTGAGCCTGGAACCTAAAGTGGTGATAGTTTTATCCTCGGGAGAAATTTCCTGTAACCCAAGGCTTTGTAGAGGGTGGAAATATTCTTTTCGGAAAGTGAACATTGTTCACGACTCTATCACAATCCTGGTCACCCGGTCTCGGGCTATCGTACGTGTACCCTCGTCCCTAAAAGTCCCAACACCCAATATGCCTAAGATGTAGTATCGGGCTGACTTTTAGCTAGTGTATATCATATTACGATGATATAGTATGATGTAGATCAACCAGAAAAAGTATGAATAAAGTATTTATCCCAAAAAAGTTCAGAATTTTACATGTTTTTTGGGGTTAAAAAAGCGCTAATTTTCAAGAAAAGAAAATCTAATGATATGTTGGGAATCTCTTATGATAAACATACATCCACGTCGACTAAAACGTATCTTAATGCCAAGTAATTGTTAGTAAATTTTTGTATTTGTGCAGTTGATAGTTTGAGAATCAAGTATCTTTTACCACCTTATCTCGATACGAATCTTCAAGTTGAGGATCTCATAACGGGAGTGTGTTTTGCTTCTGCTGGCTCTGGTTATGACCCCAAGATACCAAAGATATTAGTAACGACTTCCCTGACTTCATGTTAACCCTACGAGCAAAATGTTGTTTTTTTGCGGTATTACTATATATGTTATTTCTAACTATGACTTATTTGTAATAATGTATACCAGTCGACCATATCAATTCCGAATCAACTCATTTTCTTCCAACAATACGCGGGGAAGTTGAGAAGCCTAGTGGGAGAGCAGAGATCAAACGACGTCGTTAGAAACGGGCTTTACGTAATATCAGCGGGCAACAACGACGTTTTACTGACCTCTTTGTTTCACACCAGAACAATGTCGTCGGAGGAAATGGCTTCATACGCTGCCTTTCTCGCCGGCCAGCACTACAAAAATAATGATTTATAGGGACCAGTATAAGGGACGATCGTTTTTATTAGTCACCGGAATCATAATTTAAGTTAAATAAGGGACACCCATGCTATATTCGTCCCCATATAATAATTAACAGAGTTTGGGCCCTATGAAAATCGTCCCCAGAGAAAATGCGTATGCATTGTGGGCCCTAACGAGGAAGAATGAAAAAGGTTGGGGTGGGCGGTGATGGGCCAATTGAAAGGGTTGTCCCCAATGGAAAAGGAAAAAAGAAGTCCTTCTGTATCCATCTTGGACTTCATTTTGCTTTCTATATTTTTTTGGTCCCAATCCTCTTTTACTTAGTATTGCTTTTAGTTATCATTACTAATTAGTATGCTCTGGGTATTCCTTTTCCTTCTTTGATTAGTAACTAAGAATAGTTTATAAAGAAGGGGGGCTGCTACTGTGGTGAAAGCAACCTCAGTTTGGAATTCATTTATTGATATCTACACAAAGGCTTGCATAATAATTTATGCGTGTGAAATTTTGTTCTCGGTGGATTCTTTTATTTGGGTTATAATTACTCAAGCAATGGGCTATAGTTTTCAGTGGTTTATATAAATACCCCAGCAAGTGCTTCTCTAAGGTATGCTCTCTTCAATTTTTCGTTTCCCTCATCAAAGATAGAAATTCCTTATGTTGCTTTCTTGCACATTGTTTTTAAAAAACTATTCCACATTTTTTATTAAAAAAATCAATTTAGTTTGTCTTCGAAAAATAAAACCTTAATGATTTTAGAGATAAATTTCATATATAGTTCCCCGGAGATGGAAGAGGCCGGAAATTGTAGGTGATATATTTTTGTCTTCCCCAATTCGAAGATGACATTAAATTTATAAGCGTAGCTGCCTTGTTTCTGGAAATAAAATCATATTGGGAAGTCGGCCAAACTTCTGCCGGATTAAATCATACCGGAACTACTATCTCAAGGGAAGCCGTCTGTTTCATTTAGTTTTTACAAATCGCGAGTTACAAAAAATTAAGACTGCAAGTATAATAGTGCTGTTTGACTCGACCGCAAAAGCTGTTCGGAGCGATATCATATTGATTATTTTCAAGGAGTGGTTTATAAGGCCAACTTGACCATGTTAATTAAATTTTGGGCTTCATACTAGGTACATCTACACACACCCCTTGACCCACAAAACACTCACCGCCCCCCTCATGCAAGAGGGCTCAAGCGCCAAGCGATGACACCCTTCAACATCAACCACCCAAGTGGGCATGGTGGGGCGAAATTTGACCAAGTATGGAGACCCCACCACAAGGGGGGTTCATGCATGACACTACAGTGGGGTCAAGCACCAAGTACCATGGCCGCCTACCTACCCTTGCACTCTGGTATCAAGCATGATGCCGTGCAAGGCGGGCCATCGAGAGTATCCCTAGACGTGATGGGGAAAAATGCGAAAATTGGCTAAGTGTTGAGACCCAACCACAAGGTGGTCAAGCATGGCATCATCCCAGGGAGGGTCAAGCATGATGTCATGCAAGAGGGGGTCAAGCATGATGTCATGCAAGAGGGGTCAAGCACCAAGTACCATGACCGCCTACCTACCTTGCACTCGGGTATCAAGCATGATTCCGTGCAAGGAGGGTGATATCAACTACCTCTAGACATGGCCAGGGAAGAAGGAAAATTTTGACTAAGTGTTGAGACTCAACCACAAGAGGTGTCAAGCATGACATCATCCAAGGGGGGTCCAGCGTGATGTCATGCAAGAGGGGTCAATCATGATTCATGCAAGGGTGGTCAAGCACCAAGCACCATGGTTGACACACTACCGTGTGCTAGGGTGTCAAGCATGGTGCCGTGCAAGGACATTATCACAAGTAGGAGGCATGTTATGCCTCATGGGTAGTTATGCATGGTACATAGCATACAAGGTCATTAAATTTCTAAGTGTCAGCCACGTATATCATCAAATAGTAGACCACCTTGTCAAGACCCTGCAAGTATGATGTCACCCCAAGGGGGTCAGTGTGCATCCAACAACCCCCAAGCACCTTGGTGTCGAGCACGACGTCGTACAAGGTTGGTCAGCACGAGGCATCCAAGTAGAGATGAAATCAAACGATATACCTCCACGACACAAGATAGCTACATGTTAAGTGAAGTCGTCAAGTTGTCCAGGTACCGAATGGTATGCGTGCAAGCAAGGTGGTTAAGGTGTGAAGCAAGCTACATCAAGCACCAAGCAGTGGAGCAGTGATTACCAAGAGGCGGTTACACGACGGTTACAAAGATGACTATAAATAAGAGAAACGAAAACGAAGCAAGGGTTCAACAACCAACCATTTGACACACAATGTCAACATTTTATCCTTTCTCTGCAAATTAGCCATAGCCTTAGTTTTCGGAGCTCTCACTGAACCTCCATAAGAGTAGGAGTAATTTAACGTAGCTTGTTCCAAAAAACCATAAAACATCAAACACCCTCGTTCGAACATTGTTTGGAGAGGTGTGAACTATGTTTAGAATCGTTGTTTTAGAAGTCAAAGGTGCATTGATTGAAATCAAACACCAGATTTTCCTCGCCGGAAAACATATGGGTTCGTTGATCACAGGCTTCTGTGTCTGATTGCATCATTTGTGTCATGGTGGTGGTGGGAAGTACCTGTTGAGTCAAAAATCTTGACTTAGCAATTCTATTATCTTAGGATATGTTGCTTTGAATATGTGTTATTATTTTAGACTAACAATTCTTGCAGAAATGTCACAATCAAGGACTTGAAAAGATTTGCTAAGAAAAGGAAAGAATTCAAAGTAATTGCTTGCCCTTGAAGAAGCTACCATATCAAGTGAAGAGCGTATCAAATCAAGGAGATACTTGCCACATAAAGGATTACAAATGAAAGGAAATGAAGTTTTGCTTTCACTATAAATAGGAGAGTCATTTGTAGACTAGATCACCTTTTGCAAAGTTCTCTTCTCCCTTGTAATAGCGAAATAGTGTGATCATATTTCGTGGTGTGAATAGCTTGATATCTCGGAATTTGAGATAGTCAAGCTAGGTTGGGTTTTAGGTTAGAAAGGGTATTTGTAATTGGGACTAGTGCAAGAGCAAGAGATGATTCTTGCTTGGAAGTTGCACTAGGTGGATTACTCTTTAATCAAGCCAAACTGAATGTGTTGGCTTGATTGAGTGAGTGAGTAGCTTAGCTTGGGTTTAGCTAAGGGTTGAATAGGTGTGGAGTTGCACCTATTTGGTTCTTGACACGAGGTGTCAAGGTTGTTTTTTATTCCATAGGTTAGAGAGTCTTTTATTTTAATAGAAATTAGAGTCTCTCATGAGATAGTGGTAACTATCTCCGGGACGTGGATGTAAAGCCATATTGGCCAAACCACATTAAAATCGCGTGTCCCGACTCCATCTCTCTCTCTATACCTTCTCTAACTTTGTTCTCTTCATTAGTGCAAAGTAGTGAAAGCTTCTATTGTAGTTGGAACAAGTTTGTCATAACAAATTAATCATTTCAAGAGAGATTCTTGGCAAGCCATTTTGGATTGCTTCAAGCTAGTGCTAATCTCTCACTATTGAAATCTGAATTAATTTGTGCGTTGACCACGTCAAAAGTATTCATTATTGACCCTGCTTGGTTCAACAAGTGGTATCAGAGCCCGGCTCCCTCAAAAAGATCGAAAGATCCGCGAGGAAACTGAGATCCGATATACCAAGCATGGCTAGTGAGTCATCTTTGAATCATGGTTCCAACTCCACTCATATGGAGGGTCTGTCACATAATAGACCACCATGGTTTGATGAATACAACTATTCCTTTTGGAAAATACGGATGATTGTGTTCTTCAAGGGAATGGGTTTTGACGTTTGGAATGTGGTGGAGAAAGGTGTGTGTGATATTAAAGATGATCCCAACACATGGTCTAACGATGATCTAAAGAAGATGGAATTAGATGCTAAAGCAACAAATGTTTTATATTGTGCGATATGTCTAGATGAATTCAATAAGGTGAATCGGTGCAAGACGACACATCAGATCTGGAAAACCTTGGAAGTATCACATAAAGGGAAAACCGGGGTAAAGGAATCCAGGATATATCAATTGGTGCATGAATATCAATGTTCAAAATGCACCCAGGTGAGTATATTTATGATATGTATGTTCGGTTTAACTTAATAGTATGTAGACTCAGTGCTTTAGGAAAAACTTATGATAATGCTGAGTTGGTCAGGAAATTCTTTGGTGTTTACCCAAAGAATGGATACCTAAGAAAACTGCTATAGAAGAGGCTAAAAATTTATCTAGTCTTAGTATAGAAAATTTGATAGGATCCCTAATTAGTCATGAAATTGCCTTAAAAGCTCAAGATGTCGAGGATAATAACAAGAAAAATATAAGGTTAGCTATTAAGTCTTCCGAGAAAAGAATCACAAATGATGAAGGATCAGGAGATGATTTCGATCAAGGATTTTCTCTCATTTCAAAAAAATTCAAAAAGTTTTTAAAATTAGAAAGAAAACAAGGAAGGGGTAGCTCCTTCTATTTTCTTGAGAATAATAGAAATTGAAAGGTAAAATCTTCTGATAGTCAAAAGAAGAAAAATAAAATGGAAAGCGAGTGTAAAGATCAAGGGTTACCCAAAAAGTTACAAGTGTGGAAAGAGTGACCATGTAAGTGATGAATGTCCTAACAAAGGACGGAGCGGAGATAAAGCCTATGCAGTGGCTTGGAGTGGATCAGAAGACGAAAGTTAAGATGACGAAAGTGAAATACAAGGCTATATGGCATTTGCCAAACATGATGATGGATCCTCTTCGCCAAGATCACACGGAGATGAGGTATGTTCATTCTTTCCAACTTATGATAGTGATTGTGGCTCAAATCTTCGTAGTAGTATAGTTGAAGCTTATGAAGAAATGCAAAATCATTTTGAAAAACTAAAAGATAGGTACTATAAAGTTAAAGAGGATATGATACTAAATAAAAATGAACTTAAGGAATTAAAAGAGCATATTGCAACACTAAGTGATGAAAATCAAGTTCTGAAGAAATTAAAGGGTAAATCCAAGAATAATAAAACTCTTGAAGAGCTAGAAGAATTAAGAGTTAGAAATAATGAACTTGAAAGAATGGTAATAGATTCTAGAACTAAACTTCTCAAAACAAATACTAAGATAGAGCGATTAGAAGGAAAACACAAGGAAAAGAAGTCTAAAGAAAAGGCGCAAAAGCCTCACAATAAATCAACCACGTGGATTGAATGCGATGCTCATAGTGAAGATAATGACAAAATTAGAAATGAATTGTGGAAAGAGTCACCATAGTAAAGAATGCAAGAAAAACATGAGGTTTAGTAAATGTACTAGAAGAGGAGATACTAAACAAGAATGCTATTCAAGAATTATATGCTATTGTTGCCCTAAACAAGGATACATTAGGAGGAATTGCTACTACAATAACTATTATGACTCATATCAATCGTATCCCAAGAAAAAAGTACCCTAGCAAGTTTGGGAGAAAATTACATACTCCTATTGCATGGGATGAGTTGGGTTGATTACCCTTGAAGGGTTGGAAAAATGATTCTTTTTCTTAACTTAAATTATTTTGTATATTAAATTTGTTATGCATTAATACTCTTTGACAATAAAAAATCCATATTAATTACATCACTTTTTTTCAAAATTAAATATACATTAATTACATTTCTCTCTTCCTATATATTACTCTTTCCTTTTCCAACCGTTTTGTTTCCTTCTACCGGTATACTCCTTCCGGTCTTACTCCAGCCGACAGATTCCTTCCGGCCAGATCTCTCCGGCAAACTCCCTCCGACCACCTAAAAAAAGTATCACTGCATTAAAAAAATACCATTGCACAGATAATTTTACTATACACTAACACCATTGCACTGATAATGTTACCAATACACTGATAATGTTACCAGTACACTGATACACAACTACCATTGCACTGAAACAACTACCAGTGCACTGATAAAGTTAACAGTGTACTGATAACATTACCACTGGAAGTAAACGTGTCAGACGCCAGCGGGGAGAGGAGCGATAGTAGGAAGATTTGTAGAGATGCGGGATAGTTATTGGGAAGGCGATCGAGGTTCATGGCAGACTGCCACAGTGGGGAGAGTGAGGAGAGAGAAATGTAAATCAGTGTATGTCTAGTTTTGAAAAAAAGGAATGTATATGTGAATGAATTATTAATTGTAACCATGTTTATTAAATAAAAGGGTTAATATATTTGTATGGCCTGAACTTTGATGAAAATAAACATCCTGCCCAATCTTTTCGATCTATAACATTCTGGCCCAAATTATAAATCAAAATAACTAAATTGGCCATACCCGACGTTTGACCGTTAACTTGGACGGTCAAACGCATTTACTAACGGTCAACGTGCCATGTCACTGCCAACTCAACAAATTTCAATTATTTTTTTTAATTTCTACCTATTATCATTTTCCTTTTTTCATTTTTAACAAAAAAATGCTTTAATTTCGGGATCAAACGCTTACCCTACTATCCATATCGGGTACCCATCCACAAAAATCACCCGTCGTCCCTCACCTTCTCCTTCCTCCATCATCGAAGCAGATTCCTCCTCGTCCGACTAAAATGCAGCAGCGGGCATTCTTCTAAGCTCGTCGTCGCAGCCATCGATTACCACCCTTCTCCCTTCTACCCTCGAGCTAAAATTTTACTTACCAAATTATTCAACTCGGAAGCCCCAAAATTTCAATTTCACGGACCTAATGTAACTCACAGAACTTCTAGGATGAAAACTACGCAACCAAAACCACAGAGTGAGAGAAAGGAAGAAACCCAATAGAGTAAGTCAGTTGCCACGATCTCATTCAATCCACATCTCAATTCGCTATACAAATCTGAAATTCCAATCCAAGGAATTCAATTTCCCAGCCAGTGAACAAGAATAAATTGGTAGAAACGAGAAACAATGGCGAATCAATGGATTCGATTAAGCATGCACAGGACCCGGAGCCACTAACACCGTCCCACTCGGCGGATTGAACGACGATGGCAGCGGAGCTCCCGTGATAGCCGGCAGATTAGGCGGTGGCGAAGAAATGGCCATCGGTTGCAGAGGTGGTAGTGGAGACACAGTATCCTGCACCGGCGGTGGAGGAGAAGACGATTCGGAAGAAGGAGGGTTCGAACTTGCTTTTGGCGGAAGAAGAGGAACTGGAGTTTCCAATTGGCCGGAGGGAGGGGAGAATGGCGGCGGATGGTTGCCGGAATCAGGGGTAGGAGGGCTGGGCTGGATGTTTATTAAAAGCATTTTTCTATTTTTTTTTTCAAAATGAAAAAAGAAAAATGACAATAGGTGGAAATAAAAAAAAATTAATTGAAATTTGCTGAGTTGGCAGTTACATAGCGCGTCGATCGTTAGTCAACGCGTTTGATCCTCCAAGTTAACGGTCAAATGTCGGGTTTGGCCAATTTAGTTATTTTGATGTATAGTTTGGGCCAGGATGTTATAGATCGAAAAAATTGATCTTGATGTTTATTTTGGTTAAAGTTCAGGCCATACAAATATATTAACCCTAAATAAAAATTATTTAATTATTTATGTATTTATATTAAAAAAAAAAAGAGAACACGTTTCAACTTTCAAATGACTCCGCCATAATATTTGTCTGGACACTCTCAAGTCTCAAGTCTCAACACATCTGACCTACTATAGTACAATTATGGATGGGAAAGAAAACAAAATAGTGCTAGGTAGTATGACCCTTTGTACGAAACGAGAAGACAGCTAACCTCTGTTTCTTACTTCCACGCAAATGCATGTGTATGTAGTCAAGGCTTCACCCAACTTTGTCCCATGCACCATTGATTTGTCTGTTCAAACTTCCAATCCATTTATTTGATGGTTCACTTTCATGCTCTTAATTAGGGGTGGAAATTGGGGTGAGTGTGGTTACCCGCTCCACATTTTGCGGGTAACCACACCCACAAATATAGAATTATGCTACTCACAACCCACCCTGCAGTGGATAGAGGTTAACTACTATCCGGTGCGAGTTGGTTGTGGATACTCACAAAAATTTCACATTAAATATAATAATATTGTAATTAAATAGTGATGTTGTATTTCTTCTCATACAAAAATATACATTTAAGAAAGTTAATAAAGTGTAAAATGAATTATAAATTTCGAATACAATAGGTTAGTTAGTGTAAATTCAGAAGTGATGGAGTTGGAAAGAGTTTTGAAATAACGGAGAAGCAGAGTGATAGGTTACCAGACTAACATCGTTGCATGTCACGACTCCTCCGGTGGCAACAACAACAAAACACAAAAGTGGTACGATAAGTGGAGGCGCCCGCTTTTAATGAATCGATTATTCTCCACTCTCGATTATAGTCTTGTGTTGTTGGTAGTTGGTTGCATGTTGTGTTGTTCGTGAATTCGTGGAGAAATGGAGATGAGTTTGGGTATCTGACTAACCTTTATCGATTATTCTCCTCTTTTAACAAATCGATTAATTTATCTAACTATATCTATGGACTTGATTTTGTTATAAAATAAAACACAAGGACAATGCTTATTTAGTAAAAGTATCTCACATGAACATTGTGTATTGACTTGGTTTTGTATTATATAGTCAGTGCATATTTGATTTTGGTAGCTACTTTAATTCTTAGTCTTCCAAGTTTCACAAACTAATATAACTAATGTGGTTAATGTAGGTTACAAAGTATTTTGAAGAAATAGATATAACTAATGTGGTTAATGTGAGTTTTGTGGGTAAACCGCAGTGGGTAATGGTTAACCACTAAGCACAAAAATCAATATTTTGCTACCCACACCCCACCCACTATCCACAAATTGTGGATATGGGTATCCACAAAGTGTGCGATTTGGTGCGGTTTGCGGGTTACCCGCAAACCAAACTTCCACCCCTACTCTTAATGCCAATAATGGAGGTTGTATATTTTCCGACTGATCATTCAATATTAGCCTGCATTATTTGGTGTTCGTGTACCAAGCTTGGCCCCCGCACCTCTGTAATTTTTGTGTATGTTTCGTTTATATCATGTTTTTTCACTTACAACCACTTGAGCCCTTCTACATTTCTACTTTTACCGCCTCAACTTCATTTCACGGTACATCAGTTAGTCCTATATAGGCTGTAGATGGAGAATCAAAAGTTTGGTGCATATAGTAATAAACCCAACATACTAAGCTAGAAATAGTAATGGCTTCTTCAGAATCATTACTCATCATCGTGTTCTTCTACTTGCTGAAGCTTATTGTAACCACTGGTCCTCTGTTCTTCTGCGAAGCCGTGGCAATAACTATGGCGCCGCCACCACCTGAAAACGGAACAGTTGGTAGAGGAAGAACTTCTTCAGCTGTCTTCGTATTCGGGGACTCGATTCTTGATACCGGCAACAACGATCATATCGCAACTTTGATCAAGTCCAACTTCCCTCCCTATGGAAGGGATTTTCCAGGAAGAATTCCCACAGGTAGATTCTCCGATGGAAGGCTCATTTCGGACTTCATAGGTACTTATAATTTATTTTTTGTATTCTAGATATACGTGGTTCTGCCTTCCCAATATGTCTGAGCTGTAGCACCGGGCTGACTGTTAGCTAGTGTATATCATCTTTCGTGAATATAGTATGGTATAAATCAATTAGAAGAAGTAAGTATAAAAGTATTTGCCTCAAGGAAGAAGTATAAAATTTCCTAGGTTTTTTGGGTTTGGAAAAGAGTTTAATTATAAAAAAAAAAATGAATCTTATGATATATTGGAAATCTCTTATGATAAGCATCCAGGTCTTAAATGTACTTTAATGCCAAGTAATTATAGTAAGTGTGTTTGTGCAGTTGAAAGTTTGAAAATCAAGTATCTTTTACCGCCTTATCTCGATCCGAATCTTCGAGCTGAGGATCTCATAACGGGAGTGTGTTTTGCTTCTGCTGGCTCTGGTTATGACCCCAAAACACCAAAGATATTAGTAATTACCTTCCTGACTTCATGTTAACACTATGATTTTTGCGGTAATACCGTATATGTATGTTATTTCTAACCATGACTTGTTTAAAATATGTATATCAGTCGGTCATATCAATTCCAGACCAACTCAATTTCTTCCAACAGTACGTGGGGAAGATGAGAAGCCTAGTGGGGGAGCAGAGATCAAACGACGTCATTGAAAACAGCCTCTATGTCATATCATGTGGCAACAACGACGTCTTATTGACTACTTTGTTTCATACCAGAACAAAGTCGTCGGAAATGGTTTCATACGCTGCTTTTCTCGCCGGCCAAGCTTCCGCCTTTCTCCGGGAACTGTACAGACAGGGAGCTCGAAAGATAGTTCACCTGAGTGCATTAACGACGGGATGTATCCCCGCCTTCAGAACTTTGCTCGGCGGAGTACAGAGGCAATGTTCCGACGAGTCCAACGAGCTGGCCGTGATGTTCAACGAGAAGCTGAGCGACGAAATTCAGCGACTAAACGATGACGTTTTGCTTCCTGATTTGACCGTCCAGTTTGTTGACATGTACACGCCTTTTTTCGATATCATTAGGCGTCCTGAAAACTATGGTAATAAAGTTAGTCAAGTCAATTTCTGCTTAATCACGTTCGTTAGGATGCATGGTTTAAGAAAGTTTATAATATTGCAGGGTTTGTTGTGACGAAGGAGGGGTGCTGTGGGACAGGAACTATAGAGTTTGGATTTCTTTGCAATCGATTGAGCCCTTCTACTTGTGCCGACAATTCAAAGTACATTTTTTGGGATAGTCTTCACCCCACAGAAAAAGTCTATAAAATCTTGACTTCTGTAATAATGAAAGACATAAATAAGCGATTATATTGAAATCTTATGTCACATGCTTAGTAGACGATGTTGGAATACTACTTTGAGTTAAACTACTTAGACACAACATGAAAAACAAGAGCCAAATTCCATGAGCTCTATCCCTTTCTTATAAATTATTTTGAGTTACGCATTAAATAACATTTAAAATGATGATTTTCTGGAAAATTATCACTTGAAATGTTATGTCTTTGTGTTATTAATGATATAACTTATTAACATTATTAATTAAATAACATTTAAAATGATGATTTTCTGGAAAATTATCACTTGAAATGTTATGTCTTTGTGTTATTAATGATATAACTTATTAACATTATTATATGTGGTACTTAAAATCCTACGATTCTACGATTCGATTTTATGATTCTGATACTATCCCAGTTTTCGATTTTATGTAAAATCCCGATTTTGACCGGTTTAGAAGCATCTTTTCAGCACGTAACAGAAAACAACCCAATACGTAATTATTGGTCATTAATATTTAACAAGCTTCCAACAGTGGCTAATCATGAGTTGGACCCATGTGCTTAGATTAGAAGAATCCCAAGACGATTCCTTTTCTTTTCATAGACAGTGGGAAGATCATTGATGATGGCAGGCTTGGCAACGGTATAGTTGGCACAGAGCCACCGCCTAATCAACTGCTTTTCATAGTACGTACATCAGTTAGCTCTATATAAATACGTAGATGGAGAATCGAAAAGTTTAGTAGTGCATTGTAGTAAACCCAACATACTAAGCTAGAAATAGTAATGGCTTTTTCAGATTAGCTCGAGCTAGGGTTTTCAGCGGAAGAAAGAGACGCGACGAAATGGGAAATGCGCAGAAGAGCAAGGGATCTCTCTGGCTTTCATTTTATATCACAAGGAAGAACAGTCTGGTTTACGCTACTAAAACAGTGAAAACGGAAATGGAAAACTGAAATACAAATTGACTGTAAATGTAAAGCCACTTGGCACAATCTGATTTGTCATAACTGGTTCCACCTAACGGTAAGTTCCAGAACTCCACAACGTCGTCGTATTGCTCCTTCGCTTAAGTCAGATGGAAGGGAACCCAGAAACGTTTCCGTTTCTGGGTGAAGTTTCTTCTTCTCGTTTCAGCAATGCTCTGCACTTCTTCATTTCTTCAGCAGAGCTTCATCTTCATCTTCTTCACTTAATACTCCCCCACAAGCTGGCGAGTAAGCATTGTGAACTCCCAGCTTGTCCAGGAGAAACTTCAACCTGTATCTGGTCATTCCCTTTGTAAACAAATCCGCTACTTGATCATCAGTCCTCACATAGTGCAACTTAATCAATCCTGATTTCAGCCTTTCTCTTGTAACATGGCAATCAATTTCAATGTGTTTCGTTCTTTCATGAAACACAGGATTTTCAGCGATGTGTAAAGCGGATTTATTGTCACAAAATAAGGAAATGGGTAATGGTACCTTGATTCCCATCTCTGTAAGTAAATTTCTCAGCCACTGGACCTCACAAACAACCTGAGCTAAGGCTCTGTACTCTGCCTCTGAAGAAGACCTAGACACTGTGGTCTGCTTCTTGGTCTTCCAAGTAATCAATGAGGTTCCCAAGAACGTACAGTAGCCAGTAAGTGATCTCCTTGAGTCTGGGCAACTAGCCCAGTCAGCATCACAGTATCCAGAAAGCTCAAGTTTGGCATCTGCCCTGAAGATTAAACCTTGTCCAAGAGTCTGTTTGAGGTACCTGATGACTCTGTGAGCAGCCTGCAGATGTTCAACACGAGGAGCAGATTGGAACTGGGCAAGCTGTTGTACAGCATAAGTTATATCTGGCCTTGTGATGGTCAGATAATGCAAACGCCCTATCAATCTCCTGTAAACACCTGCATCTTCTAATAATTCTCCCTGTTCTGAAGAGAGTTTTACATTACAATCCACTGGTGAAAGACAGCCTTTAGCTTCTACAAATCCAGTGTCATCCAAAAGCTCAAGACAATATTTCCTTTGACAGACAGAGATCCCTCTATGATCTCTAATAACCTCCAAACCAAGGAAATAACTCATCTGGCCCAAGTCTTTTACCTTAAATTCTTTGCTCAAGAAGGTTTTAAGTTGCTGAATGTCACCTAGATTACTTCCAGCAATTAATATGTCATCAACATATACAAGTACTACCACAATTCGCCCTTGTATCCATCTCACAAACATTGAGTAATCAGAAGCAGTTTGTGAGTAGCCATTCTTCAACAAAGCATTGGCTAATTTAGAAAACCACTGTCTACTTGCCTGTTTGAGTCCATACAAGGATTTCTTAAGTTTAAACACCATACCTGAGTCCCTAGGCACATCAACTCCAGGAGGAATTTCCAAATACACCTCCTCCTCTAAATCCCCATGTAAAAATGCATTAGAGACGTCCATTTGGTGAATATGCCAGTCCTTGGCAGCTGCCACTGCTAACAAAGTCTTCACTGAATTTATCTTTGCAACAGGAGAATAGGTATCCAGAAAATCAATGCCATATATTTGGGTATATCCCTTAGCCACTAAACGTGCTTTGAACCTTTCTATTGCTCCATCAGACCTGTATTTGACTTTGAAAACCCATTTAGCACCTATAGGTCTCTTACCTGGAGGTAGCTTAACTACTTCCCAAGTCTGGTTCTCATACAATGCAAATATTTCTTCTTTGCAAGCTTGCAACCAGCGAGGATCTTTACATGCTTCTGCATATGATGTTGGTTCCTCAATGCAAAGTACATTTAAAGCAAAAGCCTTCTGAGAAGCTGTGAGATGATCATAACCAACAAGATGACAGATGTGATGCTTGTTAGTTGTGGTGGCCATACTCACATGGTAGTCCTTGTGCCAAACAGGAACAGTCCTATGCCTGGTAGATTTCCTTAAAAACTCAGCTTCATCAGAGTCTTCATCAGGGAAAACTTCAATTTCCATATCCTCCCCCTCAGACTGCAAACTGATGGGTGAAACACCACTAGAAGCTGTAGGCAGTTGAGTAGAAGTAGTAGTTGGAGTGGAAGAAGGACTAGGAAAAGAAGTGGAAACAGGTGAGGAAGGTGAAGGATCAATAGTGGGAAGGGAATAAGAAGCAGTGTCAGTAGCTGAATCAGGAAATGGTGAGTTTGCAGGCTGAAGTGTAGGGACAACAGGGGTAATGGTAGTAGATGGTGAGTTTGGTAAAGGGGTGAGATGAGGGGAAATAAGGTCAGAAATAGAGGTAGAAGAGGAAGTTTGAAAGGGAAGAATGGATTCATAAAAGATCACATCCCTGGATGTGAAGAAAGAGTGGGAATTGAGGTCAAAAAGTTTGAATCCTTTGATTCCAGTGGGGAATCCAAGGAAGATGCATTGCCTTGCTCGAGAATCAAACTTAGTCCTATCTCTATGAAGGGTAGAGGCATAACAAAGAGATCCAAAGACTTTCAAATTGGTAAGAATGGGAGGTTTGTGGTATAGAAGTTCAAATGGAGATTTATTGGCAATAACAGAACTAGGAAGCCTGTTGATTAAGTAAACTGCGTGGAGAACACAGTCACTCCAAAATCTGAGTGGAACACCAGATTGGAAACGGAGGGCTCGAGCCACATTGAGGATGTGCTGATGCTTCCTCTCTACTCGAGCATTCTGCTCAGGAGTTTCTACACAAGACTGTTGATGAATGATGCCTTTATCAGCATAGAATTCTGTTAGATGAAACTCAGATCCTTGATCACTACGAATTGTCTTAACTGACTTAGAATACTGCTTGTCAACCATAGTACAGAAGCTTTGCAACAAGTAACCAGCTTCTGATTTAAACTTCATTAGAAACACCCAGACAGCTCTAGAATAGTCATCAACAACAGTAAGAAAGTAGGAATAGCCTTCATGAGACTTAGTTGCCAATGGTCCCCAGATGTCTACATGTATTAAATCAAAAGCTGCAGCTGCTCTACTGCTACTAACAGGGAAAGAAAGTCTTTTGTGCTTAACAAAATGACATGTCTGACAATGAGAGACTACATCCCTATCACTAGGTAAGATCTGCTTCTCTTTGTCTTTGCCAGGATGTCCTAAACGCCAGTGCCAAAGGTTGATGTTTTGTGGTTGAAAGTTGTAAGAAAGGGCTACTTGTGGTGTAGGTAATATTGGTCCTTTGATCTTGGTGTGCAGTTGGTATAAGCCATTACTCTGTCTTGCCAAACCAGTCCTTTTCTGGGTCACCAGGTCCTGAATTTGACAAGAATCAGACTCAAAATGTAAGGATATGGGTTGGTCATGTGTCAACTTACTCACTGAGATCAGGTTAAATGTGAAACTAGGCACTAATAGGACATGTTCTAGAGACAAATCTGGGGACAATTGGACCTTTCCCACATGACTAACCAACACCCTGGTACCATTAGGCAAGTAGACAAACTGATCTGTCACTGGGGTGGACTCAGCAAACAAATCTATATGGCAAGCAATGTGGTCAGAGGCACCAGTATCTAAGATCCAGGAATGAGATAGTGTTTCTGGCTTATGCTGCATAAAGGATGATAGAATAAACTTACCAGCATAAGTAGGGAAAGGAGATGTGCTATTAGCCACAGAGAAAGCCAAATGGTTAATTGGTGATGAGGCTGGAGATGAGGGTCCAGATGAGGGAACTGTCTGCAGCAAGTATCTGAGCTTTTGGAGCTCCTCAGAAGAGAAACTGAAGCTTTCCTTAGAAGACACACTTCTGGATTCACTGCTCAACTTTGACTCTGAGCTAGCTGTGTCACTTTCAGTCGAAGATTCTCCCTGAGTTACTGCTGCAGCAACTCCACCAGCCATTCTCAGCTTTTTGTTCTTCAAACGGTAACATTCATCTTTAACATGTCCATCCTTCTTACAATAGCGGCAGAACTTTTTCCCATCTGGAGAATCTCCTTGCACTGCAAGAGCAACTGTTTGCACACCTCTGGTGATTCCCTTATCTGCTTTCAGCTTCTGTTCATGTTGCAAAATGTCATTAATAGCAACTTCCACAGTGGGGAGTGGCTTCATCATAAGAATCTGAGTATGAACAACATCAAACTCTGGTCTCAAGCCTTTCAAAAATCGAATCAGATAGTCAGTCTCCTGTTTCTGCTTGAAGGCCTCAACAGCTGCACAAGGTTGAGTTCGTTGTGGGGCACA